GTCGAGTTCGAGTTTATATGTTCGAGTTCGAGTCGAGTTCGAGTTTACATATTCGAGTTCGAGTCGAGTTCGAGTTTGATTGTATCGAGTTCAAACGGTTTGGGTTTGGTCCATGTCTAGGAACACTCATACACTGATTCTTTCATAGTAAATCATCTTGTACGATTTTGTTTATAATCCTCAATGACAGATACAGAAATGAGCCCATAGACACTGTCTGGAAGCATCATAAAGTTGGATTATCTAATTTTTGAATAATTAAGCCAATTGTTCTTAATTATTTCACTGTTAACTGTATTCTTAATTCGTAAATAGTGTAGCGAGCTCAGATTCTTCCTCATATCCAGGGAAACATGTATATATGTATATAGTGGTGGACGACTACATGAAAGAAAAAGAAAATAAAGAGGTGAAATCAGTGCAAACATGAAAACGAAGAAAGATGAGAAAAAAAAGAAGAGAATAAAACAAGGGAAAGAAACGATGATGGTATATATAAGGGCAAAGTCCTAACAGTATTAAACGCAGAGATAAAAGTCATCGACAATCAACATCATTGTGTCAGTGTTCCACTGAAGACCGATTTCGGTGTGATCAGTGGTCAGTGAATGTCGGTGCTGCAGTGAACGACAGTGTATCAGTGATCTTCGGTGTCGGTTTAGTGTCAGTCTCAGTGACATCACTGCAGTGTAACCCAGTGCTCAGTGTACCGTTCTTCGGTGACGTCAGTTATCAGTAAACCGAAACTGCACATCCCTATCTACAAGGCATTACAATTCTGGATCGATTTTTTTTTCTTTCTCATCTACCATAGAGCTTAGAAAAATAATCGAAACTTTGTTGTATACAACAAAGTTTCGATTACTTTTCTAAGCTCTATAGTAGATGAGAAGGAAAAAAAAATCGATCCAGAATTGTAATGCCTTGTAGAAGAAAAAACAGGACATAAGAGTCAGTATTTTGGCTTGTTTTCATATATCTTAGGAAATAATAGTATTCGCAATTTTTTTGATGAAAAAAAGTTTTGAAAAAATTGAAAATACATTATTTCCTATGTAAATCGACAAGCTCTATCCAATGAAAACTAAAAAAAAAGATTTTGCTGAACTTTTGAATTGTGTGCACCTTATATATATCCACCCAGAAAAAAATACTTTCCACCTGTATTTGAAATATATTGTTACTATAAAAAATATATATATATTTAAAGCCAATTACATATTCAGAAAGCTTGTGGAGTTTTCTATCACTCTATATAATTAGGTTTCAGTTGATACCTATTCAATAGGAAAAAAATTTGAAAACAATGAAGGCACCATCATGTCCAGATTCCCACAGACTTGATTTTTTCGCTGTCATCAAAAACAGTTTTTAAAATTTTTCATCCGCATAGAATCATCTTTTTTAAAATGCGATTCTAGATTCTGATAGAGAGTGAAATTGTCTATCTCTCTTTATATTTATTTTCTTTCTTGCATTCATATACTGAAAAAAAATTTCGAGTAAGGTGCACCCAAAGCAGAGTTACAGCAAAAAAATTTTTTTTTGACGTTTTTATATATCATTAGATAGAGAATTTCAAGGCGAGCAAGAATATGTGTTTCTTGAAGTTTTTCAAGGCTTTCTTTCATCCGAAAGATCGAAAAAACTTGAAGGATGTAAAACACACGATTTTTCGTCTATTTTTTGTAAAGTTGAGTTTTCTCAGTTTTCTGCCAACTTGAATAATCAAAACTGTCATATTCTTGTTCAGCTTTGAAAATTGAATTGGAAAGTGGCCTGAAAATCGTTTTAGACCTAAACTTCTATTCGCCAAAGCCATCGCAAGTGAAGCGACCAAAATCATTTTACCTATTCTTGGAAACTTTTCACAACTTTTCCTTGAGATGCTAGCGCCAATATTTTCAAATAGTTCGACTCGTTAGATGATTCTCTCCAAAACTATACGTGCAATTTTTTGAAATTTTTTGTCTTCGATGAGTAAAGTCGGTTTTACTGAGAACCACGCTAAAACAGACAAGTTCTTTTCGATTTCTTTACAAGTTTCTCTCAAAATACAACTGTGAGAATGCCAAATAGGTTAGAAATCATGGAGAATTCGATGGAAACACTGTCAAGATCTTTAGAAGATTTCTAGAGGATCTTGGCGGTTTTACGGGGGTTTTCAGTGGATCTTTTAAAAAACTTTACAGAATCATAGATGTTTTATCATGGTCGTCACTTTTCCCACTTTTCTATCCAATGTAATTCCTCTTGTTTGGTTCAGATCATTAAAACAATGTTTGTCTTTACGTAGACTAGCATTTACTATGCCTCGAACATAATTGTACACAACAAAATCGGTGATTTTAGTCCTAGGAGCAACTCTCCAACCAAAGACTGCAACGTGAGTCACTTTCCTCCCATGGGAACAATTGCGTCACTTTTAAATGCTGCGAAGCGCGTTAATGCTGACCGATTCAACGCGTTTCGCAGCTGCGAAATCGGTTAAAAACGCTGCGACTCGATATACTTTTTGTTTCCATCCGAGGATTGCGGCTCCGAAACGCGTTTTGAGTAAGTAAAAAAAAAAGGATTGTATACATTTCTCACCATGGGAAACGTTGCGAACGCGTTAAATTGCTCAGCATTAACGCGTTTCGCAGTGAATATATCCTAATTTTTTATCCCATGGGCTCTTCTCAATTCCTGAAAACCCCTGTAAAACCGCCAAGATCCTCCAGAAATCTTCTAAAGATCTTGACAGTGTTTCCATCGAATTCTCCATGATTTCTAACCTATTTGGCATTCTCACAGTTGTATTTTGAGAGAAACTTGTAAAGAAATCGAAAAGAACTTGTCTGTTTTAGCGTGGTTCTCAGTAAAACTGACTTTTCTCATCGAAGACAAAAAATTTCAAAAAATTGCACGTATACTTTTGAAGAGAATCATCTAACGAGTCGAACTATTTGAAAATATTGGCGCTAGCATCTCAAGGAAAAGTTGTGAAAAGTTTCCAAGAATAGGTAAAATGATTTTGGTCGCTTCACTTGCGATGGCTTTGGCGAATAGAAGTTTAGGTCTAAAACGATTTTCAGGCCATTTTCTAATTCAGTTTTCAAAGCTGAACAAGAATATGACAGTTTTGATTATTCAAGTTGGCAGAAAACTGAGAAAAATCAACTTTACAAAAAATAGGCGAAAAATCGTGTGTTTTACATCATTCAAGTTTTCTCGATTTTTCGGATGGAAGAAAGCCTTGAAAAACTTCAAGAAACACATATTCCTGCTCGCCTTGAAATTCTCTATCTAATGATATATAAAAACGTCAAAAAAAAAATTTTTTGCTGTAACTGTACTTTGCGTGCACCTTACAATGAACATAGTCTGAATCGACAAATACCAAAAATCTGCTTTTATTCGCTATTTTTGTTTTGTTTTTTTTTTCAATTATGATTTTCCAAAGAAGCCAATCATAGAAAAGAAATTATACCATTTGATAACGCATGAAATTCCCTATTGTTCTCTGTACTATAAAATTGTCCTGAATTTTTTGTTAGATTCTGTCATGAAACATTTTCTTTTTTTCTTGTAGATCATTTCTTTATATTTCACGATTTTTTTTCTTTTTCGCATGTCCTACTTTACTATTTTTCATTTATAATTTCAGTGAAGTTTACTTTACAGTTCTTTTTAAGAAAACTCGAACTCGATATTAAAAGTTATTTTGTAGGAATGACAGAAGCTAAAAACGGGACAAGGTTCAAAAATTCTCTTACCAATTTCTGTCATCCTCGAAATGTTAGAAGTAGTAACCAAAATGAGCGATTCGAGGAAAAGAACACAATGCATTATGACTCGATTCTTCTTATAGTGGACTA